TAAGTTTTAAAATTGATATTTAAAAGCATTAATTTTTTTAAATATATTAAGTTAATATAAAATATATATTTTTATCTTAATTATATAATAAAAGACAAATTTTTTATTTTTTATTTCATTCTACTCATATTTCATGTAATTTAAATTTAAAATTTTTTTATTTTTAATAAAAAATTAACTACTGAATTATTGACATAAGATGTACTTTTAAAATTGTTTGAAAAGATATTAATTTTAATTAGTTTGAAAACTGACTTAAAAATATCATAATTATCTAAACTTTTTAAGATTATTAAAAAAAATATTAGTTTTAAACAACACAAAAATTGACTTAAAAACATCGTTTCTATTATTATTTAAACAACACACGTGTATATATATATTGATGACCCAAAAAAAAAAAAAGATTAAAAAAAGCTATATTGAAGATTTTGCTAATTGTTGTATGGTAATATACTTGTGACATAGCTATAGAGGTGAATAGTGAGAGAGTGGAACTATAGAGTTCAAACCTTAATTATACAGGTAACGAAAGCATTTTTTTTTTTGTTAATATTTTAGTTAGCTACTATATAAACCTTACTTGTGACATTTTCTATAACTAACCATACTTAACATGTGACATTTTTTTATAAGGACATTGATTAGTATACATTTTAATTTAAATAAATTTAAAAATACAGTTATATATATAATATGTAAAAACTAATTGAATCAATTGTATTTATATTATATTGTAATACATAAATGGAAAGGATGTTAAAAAATATTTTAAATCAAATATGTACCAATCTTTTTTTTATAATAACTATGATAGTATTTGATAACTATTTTTAAAATACGATGTACTTATATTACTATTAAATATATAAAATATTACTAATCATCATGTTAGTTTGAGCGAAATGAACTAGATTTCTCTTAAGTAAGATTTTAATTTCAAATTTTATGAATAAATTAACAAGTATTGAGAGAATTTTTTTTTTATAAACTTTAATATGACCCAATTTCAAATTAATTTAGTAATGCAATCGATGAATATTGAAAAATTAATTTTAAAAAATACAAAATATTAATTTCACTTTGAAAAATTTGGACCATTTGGTCAAGCATGAGACTGGCGGCACTGGCCTGTGGCAGTATTTGGTATGCCACAGTGACCACAATGTAGTGTATGTAGGTCATGGAACTTCTACAGAGAATTTCTGGGGTTCTACACACATCTAATAAAGAAATACTACTAAATTTAATGTCCAATTGTTCTTAGTCAACGGGTCTTATGATAGTACCTTTCTTAGTTAAAATTAATAATTTCGTTTTCTATTATATATAAAAAAAAAAAATCGACTATATTGCATCTGGTGTAGTTATTGGTCTTGGTTCGGTTGTCAAGACTTGGTATTGGAAAGTGATTATTTTTTGGTGGAAGGAAAATGATTATTTAATCACTGTTAAAACTTTGTAATAAATTGTGTAAGTTTATTAACGA